CACACCGAGACCGTCCTGTGCACCCGTCGAGGCCGATACCGCTGGGTTGGCGCCTTGTTGTGCGGTCTCTGCGGTGCCAGGGAACGGTGTTCCCGGTGGTAAGATCTCTGTGATATTGCTTCTCTTCAATTGCTCGCACATTTCCCTTGTGAAGCCCTTTGGTTCCAGTAGTTCCAGAAGCCTTTCGGTCATGTAATCTCCACCGCAGCCTTCCAGGGCGATACCTCTTCCGTGTTCATTGACCATGAAATCGGTCACAGCGGTGACATCGACCTTCCCTTTCCCGACATCGACAACCGTTGCGGTAGATGTTCCGTATCCATAGCAGACTGCCAGTGCAGAATCCATTAGACAAAACGCCGGTGTTTTGAATTTCTCGAAAACAAATTGAGTGATCGCCTCGCGATCACGAGCGGACCAGACTGGCTCAGCAATGAGCATGATTGGTGTGTGGAAAGGCGGGCTGAGTGTGTTGTAAACATGTGTTAAGAGGGCGAAAAAGACGGGCCAGTCGATAATCCGTCCGTTTTCAATGGGATAAATCGCGCCTTCGTCCGATGTGACATCCTCCTCGTAGAAGACCTCCTGAGTCTCCTGTGTACTCTCCTGCGCCGTATCGCCATTGTTTTCTTGCGACTCTCCATTCTCCGGCTGGCCTCCAGTTTCTGCGGCTTGTGGCTTCTCATCCGTCACAGTATTCGCTGCACCCTCAGGCGCAGAGGTTTCCGCATCTTTCATCTCCACGTCTTCCTTGGGCGCGTCGGCGCCATTGCTAGGGTTGACATCGCGTCGCTTTTCGTGAATCTTATAAGGTTCATATTCGCCTTTCTTTTCGCCAGGAAACATGCGCGTGGGGAAGCGAAATCGCGCAGGAGTAAAGGACTCCGGAAGGCCGAGCTGCGCCAGGGTCACTTGCGAACCTGGCGCAATTATCTAAAAGGGACGGGAGGTTAGTGAGTTGCTGCCTTGTGGCCAGAAGGCAAGTGAATGTTGCAAGGTGGGGTAGGTGAGGCTTACCAGAATGTGTTCATCCTTAAAGGGCGGCATCCTGGGCAGTCCAGCGTGATGGAGCTTAGGATTTTGGGGGATCTGTCGCAGTGAAGCCGACCGCGGTGTTGGAGCTTCTGCGATGGTCTAAACCAGGTCGGGCGGTCAGCCACTTTGGGTTAGGCGCCACCCGCCTCCATTATTGTACAGTCCAACTTAGCATCAGAGGTATGAGACCTTCGTCAATTGATTTATTAGCATTGAAGTAATTAGGTCACGGTCATGTTGTGACATGCATGTATCTATTGCCGTGCGTTATGCTTTAATGGTAAAAAGAGTTTGATTGGACTGAGTTGGTGTCCTTGATTGTAGAAAACTAGCTATCAACGGAGTAGTATATATTGAGCGTACAATTACCTGGCATATTTCCATCTTTCCAGAATCTCTCTTGCCTCGTTTATAAAGTATTCTAGTTCCTAGAGACGCGAGAACACTGGAACTTAAGGAACAGGATCATATCAATATTCGCGACTTTCGGGTTACGATTGGTTACGATGAACAAATAATCATCCTTCAATGCGAAACTAATAGAGAGCAGAAGGGACTGAAGTAAGTTAAAAGAAAATGTCCATATAAGTGGGGATGAAAATACAGACAACACGATCCCAAACAGGCTGAGCATTTCCCGAGTCAAACCCTGAATAACCACCTAAACTCCGAACCTATTTCCCCCCTCAAAGCATGTACGTGTCAGCAGTACGAAGATGGAACCCAAAGCACAAAGAACTCCGAAACGCATGAGTCTATTTGATCGACAAGTCTGGAACAACAAGCACCGTATCGATTGAGAAGCTCATTCGGGAGCAGCATTGTATTTTTCTGTGGCCGAGCGAAACAACTCTTGCTGCTGTCGTAACAGTTCCTCCTCGGTCAGGCCACTTTGTTCCATCTTGCTTTGCTTCTTCTCTCGGGACTATTCATTGGTTAACAAAAGCTGCCTTTCCGAACGAGTGTTGCAGGATACAAACCTTCAGTTGCTCCTTATGCTCCTCTGCGACGGCAAGGACGTCCGGAATATAGTCACCGAATCCAAGATCACGCAGAGCCCGCTCCACATGTTCACAAGCAATTGTCTTCTTTGCTTCCTTCTCGCTAATATCGTTGGCCTCAGAGGAGATCAAAGTAATGAATTCGACGCAGCATTCCATGAGCAAATCTCGAGCATCCTTGGAGAAGGTTTGACCGGAGGATGGTGGCAGGATCTCTGTAATGATCTTTTGCACCGTCGCTGTGGGGAACAAAGTAAGCTATATGTAGGCATGTACGGGGCGCAAGAGTATTAAAGGCCATGAGGTGGTAATCGCTCCAAATGCGACAAAGGGATATACTCAACGCGGGTTTCGGTTACGTACCTTTGGGAAGCGATAGGTCATCATTCGCTGTATGAGTTGGAGTGTCAGCCGGGCTGCCAAGGAATGGGTGGAAAGAAGGTACATACAGCTGAACTCTCTATCAGACATGGTAAATGAGCAATAAATCGTCTCAGACGAAAGCGCAGTTCATATGTCGCAAAGTTTCGCGAACTTCGAAGGTTGTATCTTGTGATAGCAAGTCCACGTGGGGCAGATGGCACTTAGTCTTGATAAATAGTCGATGAAATCCCACTACGCGTGGAGATACTCGACAGGAGCTAAGGACCAGAGGCAGAAATACACCGCCTTCAACCTTTATCTGTAAGCAAATTTTTTTTTTTGCAACCCTTTTTTTCCTCGTCACACAACAACAATCGAGACAAAACGTCTCCGAGGTCTTCAATGAAGTGATCTCAAATGTTACTTTTACTCGCCATTGAACCAGGTAGCACTAACTGTCAAAGGTATGTTAGCTACATTATCCAAAATTCTTGCAATTCTACATGATGAACCTTGTTGTCGCCCCTATCATACCACTCTGTGGTGACGAACACTGTCCTAGCCAAACGGACCAACTGATATCTCCTCTTCTTTCACTGTTGCACTCAAAGTCTTAAGATTCTATATCTTTTGCTAACAGCTTGAAGTATATTTAGGTTCTAACTTGCTGACTTCACGCGAAGCTGAACTGTGGCTCCATTCGTCAAAACTCTTCGTACATTGATGGTTGAGGGCTGGTCCGAATGTCTTCGCATACATGGACTTGCGTAAGCTTATATAGGTACGGTGCACACTTTCCCTCTCCATTTCTCCCTAATTTATATGATGAGTACCCTACATTCCATGCTAAGTATGAAGGTGCTCTGCACCTAATGCTTCTAAAATGTATTGCTTTTCATCTTTCGACTGATTATAATTACAATCTTATGCCGTTTATTTCTATCTGCTCGTTGGCTCCGACATGTACTGACGGTCATATATATAGGCCTCGATGGTAGATGAATATTTATGCTTGGAAGTCTTTCAAAGCTTCGTCGTTCCATCTATTTAGTCGTTAGTTAGCGTTTAGCATGAATGAACAGATGTCTTACGAGAGGAATTTTCCGCTGAGTGAAGCTGGAGCGTCAAGGACCAGCTTAGCCATCACATGGCCGGGTTGCTCAGGTTTGAGTAGCTTTCCGTCCTTGTGCGCAGTTGTAAATTTGGAATGCATTTGAGGCTCAAGATTCGTAGCATGGTCTTCTCTCAGTTCGCGCTGCATCTCAGTGTCGACCATTCCCGGCCGGATCGAGATGGTGGTAACGTCGGGTTCTTCTTCGCCCAAAGACAAGGCGAGATGATTCATCGCAGCCTTTGTTGCTCCATAAAGAGCCCAGCCTCTGTAGGCGGACACCGAAGCTCCAGAGGAGGTGAAGATAATCTTTCCCTTGGCCTCGCGAAGCGCCGGTAGACCAGCTTTGATCTATTATAGAAGTTAATTAGTTTCTTTGCATTCGAACACCGACATCCAGCAACGGCCATGTCTTACAAATGCGACGAAGCTGATAAAATTCACGTCAAATCCGAGCTTCCACTGTTCGGGGTCTGCCTTGTCGATTTTGCCGACTTGTCCGAGTATTCCATGGTTGAGGACCAGTCCATCAAGACGGCCAAATGTCTTGATAGCCAAATCGACTGCCTTCTGGCCGAGAGAGAAATCTGCCAGATCGCCGTTGAGCACCTCGACCTGCTTGTTGTACTGGTCCTTGAGCTTCTGGAGAGGTTCGACGCTGCGAGCAATCACGACGACATTGTGCGATTGTGGCGCAGTGAGAAGGTACTTTGCAATGGCGAGTCCTATGCCTGAGAGAGTTGTGGAATGCGAGTCAGTACGGTGTATTTGAGGGGATGCTTGATGGAAGTACCTCTCGAGGCGCCGGTGACAATGATGGTTTTGCTCGGCATTTTCGTCTCCAAGACTATGCACAAAAGAGAGCAACGAATAAAAGCGAGATTAGAGATATAGACTAGAAGCCAGAGGAATTCAAGTTGGACTTCCTTTTAGTCGCAAAGATGAATGCGCAGGGCCAATCGTGTTGTTGGGATTAACGAAGAAAAATCGCTGCCAGCGGCAGTGATGTAGTTTCTGCAGTGAGGGGAATGCGGGGACCGGCGGGGTTGTCGGCGAAGACGCCGCAGAAAAACAATGCCGTCGATACCCTATATATGAATCAATTTCTCAATTGCCCGGATAAAACCTTCCCTTTACAGGTGACATGTGTCCTTAGCGGAAAGTTCGGAAAAGTCTACTCTTCTTGTTTGTTGGTGAAGTGCATGCGCGAAGCCATCTTTATTTACCGCGGACTCGGAGGACCGCTATTCCTATGTCCAGTGACAGATGAGCTGGAAGCTACGCCGTTGATTCTCGAGTTCACGGCGTGGATAGGGAGGTATGGAATTCTAAAGCTTCTTTCCCATAAGCACGGGTCAATTGTCCAACATTATTCAAAGGCTGCGACTCCACATATCAGGTCTTGTCGTAGTTCTACCCAGGCTATAGATAGCCGCATAGCCGCGTAATTGACCTAGGACAATCCAATCCCTAAACACCGGAACGGCAATATGTCCACCGTGATTCTTGGAGGAGGCATCATCGGATCTTCGATTGCCTACTACCTATCTGAAAATGGACCGTCCGACGAGATCCATATTGTTGAGGCATCGTCTCAGATGTTCAGTGCTGCATCAGGATATGCTGCAGGTTTCCTAGCCAAGGACTGGTTTACGCCAGCTCTTGCACCCTTGGGAGAACTCTCTTTCAATCTGCATCAGTCGCTGGCGGCTAAGCATGGAGGGACACAGAAATGGGGATACATGAAAGGCACAGCACTGAGCCTGGACTTTTCCAAGAAGAATAAGAAAGGGGGTGCTACTGGAGACGCATGGCTGAGTGCAGGAACAAGCCGAGCGGAAACAGCTGCCAGCTCCAGCAGTCCTATTCATGCGGAGGTACCCGGCTGGTTGACGAAGCAGAAGAAAGGGGTCCTTGAGAAGATTAGCGATGATAACACTGTTGCTCAAGTGTTAGTAATGATTATTGCGAACTCTGCCGCATGGCGAACTGACGGCGTTTTAGAGATCCATTGAGATTGTCAAGATTTCTTTTGGAGAGCTCTTTGGCCCGCGGTGTCAAGTTGCGCAACCCAGCTAAGGCCACATCCGTCATTACGGATCAAGTCAGTGGAGATATCACCGGGGTCAAAATCATCAATCTGGATACTCAGACCGAGTGCTCACTTCCGTGCACAAATATCATCATCTGTGCTGGTCCCTGGACGCCGCAAGTCTATCATGAACTGTTCCCTTCGTCTCCTCTCGCAATCCCAATCACCCCTTTGGCTGGGTATTCGCTTGTCGTTCGTTCTCCTAGACACACACTCCAAGACGAGAGGGTAAAATACACCAGCCGCAGTCATGCCGTGTTTACGTCACACCCTGATGCATGCGGCTTCTGTCCCGAGATTTTCTCTCGTCAAGGTGGAGAGATCTACATCGCCGGTCTGAATGACACGCATATCCCTCTTCCAGCTCAGGCGGAGGACTCGTGCAAATTAATGGATCAGAATGAGATGGAACGATTGAAAAAGGCGGCGGTTCATCTAATGGGAGCACTAGCCGAAGGCAATGTGGAATTAACAGACGGCATTGCCAACAAAAATGACTTGGAGATATTGCGTGAAAGCCTATGCTTCCGACCTATCTCCGCGCATGGAGTTCCCTTCGTCACTCGAGTTGACGAACATTTGCTAGGTGGGCTCAAAACTGGCTCTAGAAACAGATGTAAGGATGGTACAGCAAGAGGAGTTTTCGTTGCGTCAGGTCATGGTCCGTGGGGTATCTCATTGTCATTGGGAACTGGGAAAGTGATTGCGCAAATGGTGGAGGGAGTCGAGCCTGATGTAGATGTGAGTGGGCTTGCAATAGTCTGAGTGGCCTTGGAATAGAACCGAAGAACAAGACCCGACTTGAGATGTAAAATGTACGTATAGCGAAATGTTTAAATTACCCCATAGAACAAATGCCCACAGTCCGATGATCGAGTGAAAGCGCGGTTATGATAGGCAGAGGGAGATGATGTGATATATAATGCATTGATTACTAATTATGCGCACGGAACATTCTTGTTCCAGTTTGATGGCCTGAGGCTAGAAACTTCCAAGAAGTGTTAGTCAGCATCTCCGCCACGCGATCGAGCTCTCCAGAATCTTCAAGCTATGGGAAGGGACATATAGGCCTCACCTCCTGCGCTCGCACTATCTTACCACCTCTTTCCCCCTCTTTACCTTCTGTCACCTTCTTCGTCGCGTTCCCTGACAGCCCTCTTCTTCCCTCCCGATCGTCCTCGCAATTCAAGTGACTCGGGCTCATCCTACAAGTCAACTGACCATCATGGCCAACTATCTCGCCTCCATTTTCGGTACAGAACAGGACAAGGTCAATTGTTCCTTCTACTACAAGATTGGCGCCTGCAGACACGGCGACAGATGCTCCCGCAAGCATGTCAAGCCATCATACTCCCAGACGATCCTGATGCCCAACATGTATCAGAACCCAGCCTACGACCCAAAGAACAAGATGAACCCCAGCCAGCTGCAAAACCACTTCGATGCGTTCTATGAGGATGTGTGGTGCGAGATGTGCAAGTACGGTGAATTGGAGGAATTGGTTGTGTGCGACAACAACAATGACCGTAAGTGCTATGCTGCAAATCAAGATCTTTAAGAGTACTGTCGCTAACTGATGCTACCATGCAGATCTCATCGGTAACGTCTACGCACGATTCAAATATGAAGAAGACGCACAAGCTGCGTGCGATGCGCTCAATTCTCGCTGGTACGCAGCACGGCCGATATATTGCGAGCTATCACCTGTCACAGATTTCCGAGAAGCGTGTTGCCGGTTAAATAGTGGCGAAGGATGCGTACGAGGCGGATTCTGCAATTTTATTCACCGGAAAGATCCCAGCCCCGAGCTCGACCGTGAGCTTCGCTTGAGCACCAAGAAGTGGCTCAAAGAACGAGGCCGCGACCCGAGAAGTGCTAGCCGGAGTCCTAGTCCGGAGCCTACCAGGCGGAGATTTTAGGGGGATTCCTTCTATGATTTCGTTTCCATATTCGGCGTTGGGGAGATTGTGACATCTGTCATCTGTACCTTCTTGTTCGCTTAGCATGATATCAAAGCTAGCTCATTCTGATTAGTAGCTACCGTGATTGATCATATTCGTATTCTCTTTAAGGCAGCATCAGTGACCTTAAGTACTGATAGTCATAAATCCGCATCGCGCAAGTAAAAGGCCTATCAATGCGACGCTTGATGCGATCTCCGTAAATTGCCCGTTTCGGTCTTGGCGTCCGATAACGCGGGTCGCGTTTGATCGCGTCGCAATGACTTTCCCCGCAAAAAGAATCCAAGGTCTAAGATTTGTACTCAAAAAAGTAACGGTAGATTGGCCTCTTGACTTAGCGGAGGGCAACTGTCACAAACAACATAATGGCAAATGATGCTGGGGCGAATGGCTACAACGATAGTAACCGCGCCTTTCTCCAAGCGTTCATGGCCCGGTCGACCATGACGCTTGAGGAAGCCAGGCCTGTTCTGGCAGCGATCTTTTCGGCGCACGGTATGAAGTCATATACAAGAGACATGAGGGACTTGCTAATCAGTGCATGATGAAAGGGGGCCAGCCCGTCTCCCCTGATGATGTATCGCAAGAAGATCTCGACTCCTATATTGATGCTGCCAACGCCGCAATTTCTCCATTCGACCTGGAAATCAGGAGCACGCTACGCCAGTTACAGATTGACCAACAAGTAAACGGAGCCACGCAAGCTGAACGAGTATATGCTCTTGTGAATACCACCAGTGATCCGCTCATGCAATTAGCCACCACCTACTCGGCAGACGAGATTGCCTTTATCAAGCGTGTTCTTGACGCGATCTTCGATACTTACAATACACGACGATGTGAGGCCATGGTAGTCAGTGGTATACAGGCCATGCAGCTCGCTAAGGCTTCCTCGGATTCAAGTCGACGGGAGTCCCAGGCCGCCACGCAGCAAACTCAGGGAGGAGCTGCGCAGTCTTTGACCATGTCGCAGGCGGAGACGGTCTTGAAGCAGCTGGTGGAGGAAGGCTGGCTTGAGAAGAGCCGGAAGGGATTCTACAGCTTGAGTCCGCGGGGACTGATAGAGCTGCGTGGCTGGCTTATTGCTACGTACAATGAGAACGAGGAAGGGCGGAGAGTGGATAAGATCAAGTTCTGCGCAGCATGCAAGGATATCATCACGGTGGTTAGTCTGCAGTCTACACTCCTTCTGACTAGTATGGAAACTGACGTTTCGAAAGGGTCAACGTTGCGGCAACCGTGACTGCTCGGGCCGGCTTCACGATATGTGTACTCGCAATTTCTTCCGTATGCGGCAGGCTGAACAGTGTCCTGTGTGCAAGGCTCCTTGGCCCGGTGACAAATTTGTTGGCGAAAGAGCCATGACAACCACGGATACATCCATACAAGGCCGAAGAAGAAGTACTAACACCCGGCGCGAAAGTGGTGTCGGCACTAGCACACAAGATGCAAGCCAAGTTACCAATCAAGTCAATGAGAGTGACTGAGGATGGCATACGCTGAGAAAGATTAAGTTCGAAGCCCCAAATCAGCGATGTGCAGCATTCGATATCCGAACTGAAAGAGCTCAGGATACGGCAGGCCGAGGGCTTACGTCCATGAACTGTTGTGGACCTCGTCTGCAGCTTAACGACATCGGTTCCTCGACGTATTACAGGGAGAAAAATATTCCCCCGCCGATCATCTTTCGAGATTTAAGCGAACTTTGACTCCTCTCGGCCGGAGAAGCCCCTCTTCCTCGGAGCGAGTTACAATAAGCATTGAGCAGCTAGAGAGGGCGTCCAATATCGCGGGACTATACGGACTCGTCAGTTGCGAGTGACAAGGTTGCGCTGCCGGACCACTGCTTGATCGAAGATTGACTAAAGCTCGCCTTCACGCGACTAAGCTGCCTGATTAAGCTCTCGTCAAGGGAGCAATAGGCGGACGATCGGGTGGAAACCCCGCTAGGATACCCAGTCTCATTCTCATTAAGAGTGCCTTTTGGCAAGCGTCTTCTACATCCAGTTGAATCTTTTGTCCCCACAAGGAAATCTCCAATTATCCTATTTAAGACCCGCCGATGGGAGTTGAGAACATTGAGAGATGAACTTCTTCTGCTTGACTCGGCATTTCATCTCTTTCTAGGTGAATACAAGATGAGTATCATTGCCAGACGTAGTTTGACCTCAAGCATGTTTTCTAGAAAATATGGAAGAAACAATGTCCGATGTCATTCACAATGCTGGCTTGACGGCGTATATCTGGTAGGAGCCTAGAGACTGGGTTAGCCACGAGGGTAGGCCTCATCGAGTACAAGCTCACCAGCCCATTCATTACAGTCATAGTCTCGAATCTTGTCATTGTTTTGAACATCGGAGCCGGACATGCCACAACAGGCAGACTTCTCTTGCGGCATATGTTTGTAGACGGTGAGGTCTGCCTTAGTGTCCACAATCGTTATGTCTGCGCATAGCATCAGCATCTTCCGAGCAGTCCGCGCAAGGGGATGGTCCAGGTACCGCCAAACCCGGCGTCCTTCAGATATCCATGATACTCCTGGGCCTGACTTGCACCAGCGATGCAGCCAACATACAGCGCCAAATCATTGGCGATTTCGGGCGGCAGGTCCTGCCGAGCAAGGATGTCACTGATCGCAACTCGACCTCCAGGTTTCAGAAGCCGGAACATCTCATGAAAGACAAGGCTCTTCTGCTCTTTTGGCACGAGATTGACGACACAGTTGCTGATGATGCAGTCAGCTGTCGAATCCTCGAGTGGAATAGCCGTGATGAATCCCTCGACAAAGGAAGCGTTGGTAATGCCTGCTTTTTCGACGTTTTCGTGGGCGAGAGCCAGCATTTTCTGGTTGATTGGAAGTAAGTCTCTTGCCGGAAGCGTGCAATCCGCTCTGTAGAAGTGAATACTCACTTTGGTCATGTCGACTCCGATAGCCTTTCCCTTCGGACCGACTTTGCGTGCAGCGAGAATGACATCGATGCCGCCGCCACTTCCTAGATCGATCACAGTCTCACCCTATTTTGTGGCAGTCAGCCGTGCGCAGGCGACTGTCCAGCTATACATACTTCTCTTAGGCTTGCCAACGCCAAAGGATTACCACAGCTGACTCCAAGATTCGCATTCTCAGGAAGAGATTTCAGATCCTCTGGGTTATAGCCAAACGCCTTCGCAACGCTGGTCTGATAGTCCTCAAATTTGTCCGCAGAGCCGCGCTCAGCTAATCCTCCATAATAGTCTTGCACCGCTTGAATGGTTTCTGTGGATTGCATGATGACTTTTTGGCGATGAAGAGACAGTTACACCGGTCGTAATGTCGTCAACCTTGACAGATTTGGAGCTCGTTGGTAATTTATACCTCCTGAGCAACCCCGCATCTTGGAGTCCTACCCTCGCGAAGTGGCAATTAGCCTTGCTACATCATACGGTCAATGCTCGTCCTTCGACTTTCGGTCGATCTTGCACAGCCTTATGCGACGGAAATATGTTGCAGCTGCCTGTGCGACATTCATTCGTTGGCCATCTTTGAGGTGCATGGGTTGTACGGTTACCGTCGAATGAGATCCAGCCTGTGACATTTTCCTGCATGCCAGGGAGGCGAGATGATATCAGCTGATATTGAAGGGACCATTGAATCACTCTGAAATGTTCGATGATGCACACTATGCTCGACCGCGAAGCATTCATCGATTTATGCTGCAATCGTGGCGCGGGTAAAAACCAACGAAGAAGGGACAAAGTTCGAGGCTCATTTCGACGAAGGACACCTGTTTTGAACGTGGAGCTGCCGGTGATCCCAGCTTTCGGTTCCTTGGGAGATTTGGAGACGATCGTCTTCAATATGGGGAGATCAAAATAAGACGCAGGCTGTCAGCCTGGTGAACCCTCTTTCTGATTTGAGAGCTATGCCGGGCTGGAACGTTTTATCTTGCGTTGAGAAGTCCTTCGAGGGACCAGCAGACAAGACAGCGCCCGTGCCCATAGACTGCTTGACCGCTACCACTCTATCTGTACATCGCACTCCTGATCCGATAGTATTGCAAAGTTCAGTAGCGTCTCTGCCACGTGCTCCTCATCGAGCTGTGTAAAGCGACGTTCAAGAACATTCATTAGGGGGCCAGGATATTCAGAAGGCTCTATTAGGTCAAAGGAGTGACGTCGAGGTCCACGCCGCAATTTGCCAGTTTTGAATCCTAATCGGTACCGTCGACGCCTGCGGATTGCGAGCAGCCGGCCATCACGGCCAACAAGCTCGGTTCCCGCTGCTTGCACCAGATGTAGCATTGCTTCCTTATGCGACATTTCAAAGTCCTCGATCTTCCGCCTCAATTCTAAGGCCAGTCGGAGTTGGGGTTTACACTGTCCTGGTGAGCATCGAAATAACAACTGGAGCAAGATCTAAGAATACCATACCCCGGTGGTCTCTTTATACCTATCGAGATAGCGCAGCTCGTCAAGCAGGGTGGTGAGATAAGTTCGCCAGTCAAAGGTAAAATAAGTACTTGTGATGGTATTCCCAAAACGAAGGTCGATGGGAAGTAAATCGGTCACTCCTTTTTCAATTTCAAAGGTGATGTAAGGATGGTATCCTTGCTCGTCAAATTGATTCAACAGTTTCTGAATTTGAATTAAGTGCTGACGTTCCCGTGGATCTGTCCATTTCAATCTTTGACCCTCGAAAACAGCGATGCGCTGTTCAGAATCACGAAAGCCAGCGAAGATATAATACTCACGCAGATACGGACTATATAAGTCAGGGGGATCCGGCGGGACCGGTTCCTCCCGTTTTACCCAGATTTCTGAACCATTGATCCAGTGCTCGAAGTAGTAATCTTCAATCTCTTTCTTGAACGCCCTGTTCAGCGCGCGATACTTGACCCACGGCTGCCATCTGGGTTGATCGGGCATCCGAGGTAGAAAATACGCGACTCGCATCCAAAGCTCAGGTGGGAGCCAGAAAGTGTATGTCGATCTGAACCGATTGTCTTCACTCATTGCAGGAATGAAGTTACAAAGATCAGAGGGAGCTTGATCAAACACGGAGAGAGATCGGACTGATGCACGAGTTGACACTTGACAGTGCGGACAAACAACGGTGTTGGCGGGCAATATCACGTGATCCACACCTAGGTACCATAATGGTATACGAACAATGCGTTAGGCATATAACAAAAAGTGAGCATTATTAAGGTAGTTTGCTAGGTATGACTGCTTAATACGCATTTGGGGTTGATGTATTCAAACACAATACTTCTCCCCAAAGAAACAATCCTAGACTCACTCCCAGTAATGCAACCGCAAAAGCAAATACAGAAGGCCCTGGAGCAACGGACTGCCAGCTCCCAAGCAAAAGCGGCGACACCAAGCCTCCCAAGTTCTCCATAAAGGTCAATGCTGTGATCGCCCGCGGCGCATCCGGCATGGACGAAACGAAATGACTTTTGAAGAAAGCTGGAAGGGATAACCCGGCTGCCGCAACTGACACAGCCAGGTACAGTTGGCCAGCACTCTGTATTTGGGCGATGGCCGCAAGGGCAAGCATCTGTATGACTAGTGCTCCGAGTACTGCAGTGCGGTCTGTGAATCGGGCCGAGTTTGGCCTCAGCCGTTGCAGGCTGGGCAGGATGAGCACTTTGAGTAAAAGGTGCATGGCAGCGCATGCGGCGGCAGTGGATACGAGGAGGCCGTTTTGAAAAGTGCCGAAATGCAGCCGGATCGAGGCAAAGACCATAATTGCGGGGAAGAGATGGGCCTGAACGGTGGTGTAGAGGAGCAAGGAGAGCCCATAGGGGATGACGCGGGAATGGTCGCGGAATAGTCGGAGTGGAGAGAGCAGGACACTGAGGCTTGAAAGGATCTTGCAATATGTTTGCATCTGGGGCACGGCTTGTATAGCTGGTACACGGACAAAGCTGACCAGATATACCAGGGCTACACTGAAGATGACCAAGGCTGCAGTGAAGCTCGCCGTGTAGCTCTGAAAGACGCTCACCGCAAGGGGACCGACAGCTGTCCCCAACATATACAGTCCAAGGGAAGCGGCGATGAGCTGCGAGGTTTCTTGACCAGATGATGGTGATGCTAGAGAAACGTAGATAGTGTTGAGGTTGAAATGAAGCAGGTTGTCTGACGCGAGACCCTCGAAAATGCGCCCTGACACTGCGATGGTGACACTACGAATGGATACTGCTACGGTCAGCGAGAAAGGCTCGAGACAGTAAAGACATTAATTACCTCCGATGACAAGGCACAATACACTGGTTGCACGGCACACAATCCAGATTAGCAGACCGGCTCGTATATGTTTCTTGATGAGTTGCTCCACCGGCCCGAGGATCATAATGGCCACCGCATGGGCGATTCCATTGGCGATAGCGACCACGGCTGCATAGGCGCCTTCTTCGCCATCTTTACAGGCGGTTGGATCCTCGCAAAGGAGATCAGCGTAGGCGTAAATGGCAGTGGCAGTGGTGGCTGCCATGCCGAGAGAGGCGAGTAACGCAAGAGGAAGCGTTCGATAAGCGGCATTCCGAGAGTCGTGAATGGTATCAGGAATTGCTTCGCTGCGCGAAAGCAGTGGCTCTCTCTCGTGTTCACTCATATTAAATTACGCTGCTATCAAAATTGAAAGTTGGCTGAGAGTCGTGGCTCCGTGGGTTATCACTAATGACACAGCTTCGGTGGCCGAAATTGTCAGCACCGAAACCGGCCTTGAGAGAGCCTACCTCTAGATGAAATCAACGCCAGTGTCACCAAAACTAAAGCAGCAGATTGTCTTCTGTATCTTGCAACAGAGCCCTATAGCCATTTTCAGCTAAAAATGCTCTCCGCAGGTACTGGAAGTGTCCCAGCAGCATGATATAGGAGGAACGCTTGCATCGCTTTGCCGAGAGAGCCGTTGCAATCCAGCCTCGCTTCGACCGCAAGTCGAGTCTTTCATCTGAGAATATAGCCATGTAAAGATCCCAATTTTATTACCCTGTCTCATCTCCTTTGCGTGACTGACAGTTGGGGCCTCAGTCAGCCACAGACTCTTCAGGCGGTTGCGGCGGGATATATGCAACCTGTGCTTTGATTTCTGCCTAAGGCTTCCAGGACTTCCATTTTCGCAACATCGCACGATGGTAATGAGGGGTCCTCTGCAGTCGAATGATAACTAGAATATGCCTTCATTTTGCATACAGTGATGTATTTCTACCACTCATTCGATTCTACTTACCTTGGCGCTCTGGCTGACTTGCAATAATAACGGTACTATTGTTCCTTCGAATGCAGAGCAGAGTGCTAGACACCGTGTTTTATATGTGGCCAAGGCCGTCGACAGAAATGACTTAAAAAAAGAAAGAGCAAGAAAGTAGCGAATGAAGTCTGCTTACCTGAGCCTGGTGCGTCGATCATTGGAGGGGCAGGAACATCCTTCTCAGCCTCATTGCGCGGGCGTCATCCACTGTTCACAACTGTTCGTATGTAAATTTACCAAGCTCGCGAACAAAGATGAATCCAGCCCCTACTCAGACGACCGACTCATGGGAGGAGGCCGTTACAAAATATGTAAAAAGCCTGGATCCTGACAAACAGCGCGAGTTCCAAGTACCTGCCACTGTCGAGGCGTGCTTACAGGTTTTATCAACAAACGGCACGAGAAAAAGAAGCTTCACCCGGATAGCCGAGTTTCTGGGACCAGTGATTGAACCCTGAAGCGCTATAGGGGACTATCGATGTTATTGTACAAGTGAACGCTGGGATTGCGTCGCCGATTTGGGGTCCGCTTCGCATGGCATTCACAGTAATTTAACTATTTAACTCGCGGCGATAATGCATCCTGTGATGCTTGAAACTTATCGTTAAGCCTCATAAGATCGCCTGTCAACACATCTCAGCTTTGGAGCGACTTGCCTTTATTGTCGACAAGATTGCACAATCGGTTCAGCGATATCAGGATCTAGCAGCACTGTTTGCTTCCCACGCCGGAGTCCGGGAGGCAGTCGGGCGGCTATACTGTGAGCTTCTGCGGCTACGCACTTGTATGGTCAAGTACCAGACACGTCGACTTCGATACGTCATGAATGCGTTTGGAAAACAATTCGCGTCCATCTCAGAGTCGGTGGACTACCGGGCAGCGGAGATAGACCGTGCAGCTCAAACGACTCATTTCCTGGAGGCCAAGTAAGTGAGAAAGAAGTTGGCCCAAGAGACGCGAAGGTTGCCATGTCTACATACATATTGTTATTCCAGTTGCGCATTACTGATTTTTGACCATGCTCAGAACAAAACCTCGATCGAATCCGATGTTGGTTGTGTCCTTCCACAGTCGAGGATGACTTGCAGCGACATCTTTCCCAGTATTCAGACGAATCCTGTGACTGGGGTTCTGCAGTCTGAAGAATTTCAGAAATGGTTCTCGTCGCCTAGAAACGAGAGGCTGTTACCGGTCCCCTTGGTAGCGGGAAAAGCATTCTTGTTGCCTTTCTCGTCAAAAACTTGTCGCAGTATGTACGGGTCCTGTACTTCTTCTGCGATAGAAAGAATCCCGAGAAAAAAAGAATCAGTCTGCATATTAAAAACGCTTCTGGCGTAGCTCTTGAAATATGAACCAAGTATGGCTGACCAGATGCTGAGTACCTACCAGCGCAGTGGACGGGCTGTCCTGGATAAGCTGAGCATGGCTTCTGATTACGAATGAAGATTTGCCCAGTTTTCTTCTTCAGGAGAAAGACCGTTTACCTTCGCAGATCATGGACATTGTGCTCCAGTACGTTAATGATGGGGCGTCTGTGTTTGACACGCCTGGACTAGCAAAAAGACTGGCCGGCCCTTTGGTGGATGTTCGTCGGACGATTACAGGTTACGAAGTAGCAGCTCTCCACCAGTCCTTCTACCAATATCTATCGAAGGGAAGCCTTTGGACCAAATCGGACATATTACTGCAGCCACTACGGACGAGGAAGTTATCTCGAGGGATTGCGGCGGTGTGGTATTTCACCGAGTTCCCAGAGTCGCAGCAGCATCTAGACCAGTTAAGAAGTGCTTCTTCCGCTCCGATCGGCTTCTACACCACTTCCCCTTCCATTACTCTCTACTGCAAGCATTGAAATGCACAGAATTCTGTTCCGATGAGCTTTGCAAAGAAGACCTTATGGTTCAGCAGCTTACCGAATTCCTGACGTCCGGAAAATGCCTGCGTTGGTTCAAGTTAGTAACCATGATTCACTTTGCCGGAAATTTCAGCAAGATTCTTGACAATGTCCTGGGTGCGGTCGCAAAGCTGTCTGATATACTTTCCAACGGCAGCTGTGGTTCTCCAGCGTTGGCGGCTTTTAATGAACACCGCGTGGCATTCTTCAAGAATTGAAATATATACTGTTAAAGACGAGGCCCTGGGACCCTGATAGCCAAAAGCCTAGTGTAATAGAGCCATCTGGATTTAGTACATGTCAGAGAATAATGGAAATCGCCACCACATGCAGTGAAGAGACGGACCTTTTTACTCATCAGGATGGGAACCTGGCAAGACTGAAGGGTTGTCCACAATGCTTAGAGGCCTTACCAAGGTCAGTGAATGAAAAAAATGCATATTTTGAGATGCAGGAGGGCACGTCAACCGAGTCATCATGCAGCAGCGTGAGTTTAGTATAGCAATGCTTTGAATAGGAAGGGCGTGTCTCCAGCCATTACTGTCTTGTCCGCTGCTTGCCTGTCATTTTTATCTCTGAGTGGCTATATGGCGTATGGCAGGTGTGTAGCTGCTCTAGGGTGCTTAACCTCAAAATGCTATCTTCATTAACCCCATACTTATCATTCAATAGGAGCTACCGTAGCGCAAAATTATAAAATAGTTTCCTCTACCATGTCTTCTCATGCTAACCAGACGCATTCAGGGTAGATATGGATCTGAAGCATCCAGATATCGGCATTAGACCATCCCATCTATAAAAGCCCAGGAGTATACATCTGATGGGCTATATCTGGCGATTAGAGTCAAAGAAGATATACCTATATGATAATTCAATATCAATACTATAATATTCAATAGCTCTCTATATGATTATTCGATGTTGACACCATCAATTTGATATCCCTACCATGTAAGAATGCATGTCCATACTCTATGAGCAGGTGATATCACTGATTCTATTGATAATTCAGATGAGATCGACATCACTAACATGATTATCTGTATCTCCATGGAATTTCGGACTTTCGGACTTTCGGAGCGAAAGTGCTGTCAGATCGTCCTCGGAGTCTCGATGATCTCCACAGACGAGACACTTTTCGTCGAACCGTTTCGTCGATCTCGAGAGCTAAGACTGCTTGGCTTGTTTTAGGCTCATCTCGACCGTGACATTGTACTACCATTCGCTGAATCCATAGCTGTCACTCCACATAGCTCTGTCTTGGCTTCGGATGAAGAAGGCTCTCTTGCTCAGCGGATGAAAGTTGATTATCAATATGGAGTTCTGGAAAGAGCTTCTAGTATTGCAAGTATGGCCTCAGAGGTATAAAGACAGCGCTGGAGGGTATGTTGGCCTCGCCACCAGCATCATCCACAAGAGCAATCACCTGCATACAGGGCATCCGTTCTAAGAAACGCAATTCGATCACACTCTCCTCACTTTCAACCAAGTCCAACAGCGCACTTTCTCCTCATCTATCTTTACAATGGCTCCATTCACCCTCTACACTCACGCCGGTAATACTCCTTCCCGATTGATGAGTAACTTGCTAATGAATGCCTGTAGGCCCCGGCCCCAATCCCGTCAAGGTGGCCATGGCTCTCGAGCACCTCGGTCTAGACTACGACTGTGTTCCTCTTGAATTCGGCGAGGGCAAAGGCACCGTCAAGGATCCGGAGTACACCTCCAGGGTCAACCCTAACGGCCGAGTCCCTGCCCTGATCGACCACTCGAATAACAACTTCACCGTCTTTGAGAGCGCCGCTATCCTAACATACCTGGCTGAGAAGGTACCTACCCTCATTATCCCCTTCACTCTAAACCCAGCTAACAACCACCTCAGTACGACGCCAACGGCAACCTCGCCGGCAAGACCGTCGAAGAGCGCGCAACCATCAACCAGTGGCTCGCCTGGCAGGTATCCGGTCTAGGACCTTACCAGGGCCAATTAGTCTGGTTCCTCGTCTTCCACGAGGGCGCCCACGGCGAGAAGCCCAACGGCTCCGTGGTCGCGCGCTACCAGGCCGAGGTGGAGCGTTTGCGGGCTGTGCTGGAGAAACATCTCGCCTCTGCGGAGAATGGGTTCGTGGCGCTCGGCCGGCTGACAATTGCGGACTTTGCTATCTTGCCCTGGTTGAAGAGTTCCGTGCTGGCTGGGGCTGCGCTCAGGCCTTTAACGCAGTACTCGGCTATTGAGGCTTATATTAAGAAGCTGGATGCACTGCCTGTAGTGCAAGCTGCTTATAAGAAGGCCGTGCCTCCTATGATGTAGATCAGTTGTGTAAATAGCTGTGTTTCATTAGAGAATACGAGGTCTACTACTGCCATTCGCTTATAGTTAGCCTTCAGGAATGACACATGCTTTGGCGTCGTTATCACGCATGGAACTGGGGAGACCTTCCCCTGTGCAGGCAGCTCTAGTGTGGAAGGGTACTGTCAACCGATCAACAGAGGTGAAGCCAGAGTAGTACAGACAGAGCCTTCCTGGACTGTCAAAGTCCGAACTGTCAGCGAGTCCGAGACTAACCGACAGCGCTACACATTCTTGCAGGGAGTGGATGGAGCCACGGACGTCGCAGAACTCCGCGGAGCTTCGGCCAGTTTCAATGTCAAGCCTCACTTGTCGTATTTCCGTCAGTCCTCCGACGAAGACCCCTCGGACTTCTCAAGGCCCTCGGAACCAATTACGAGAGACGACTTTAGCCTCAGAAACGTATAAATACCAAGACCGCCAAGACGGCAAGACCAGCATCCCATATTACTTATTAGATAGCGCCGCTTCCACTTCACCCTTGAGTCCTTGACTCAACCACGTTGACCGTCATCCTCCAATAATACTCAGGAAAGTAGAGATATCACAGAACAATATGCCGACCCACCACCGCATCCTCTCCCTCGTCTACAACGACTTCGAAGCCCTCGATTTCTTCGGACCATTGGGCGCCATCGTCCCCGGCAGCGACTACTACACTCTGGAGCTAGTCAGCCTGCACAACCTAGACTCGCCACGTGGCATCGAAACATCCCTGAAAAACGGCATCGGTGTGATCCCGACCCTCTCACTGTCCGACGCCCTCAGTGAGATTTACCAGTTCGACACCCTTTTCATCCCCGGTGGTTTCGGCATGATGCCGCTGGTCTCGGACCCGATCCTGCTGCAGCGCATCGGGAAGCTGGTCGATCGCGCCGCCAACGTTTTCACCGTGTGTACCGGGTCCATCCTGCTGGCTGCGACTGGTCGACTGGATGGGCGGAAGGCGACGACGAATAAGCGGCTGTATGATGAGCTGACTCCGAAGTGTATGATATGAGACCACATCTGGCTTGAAATGAAACTCAAAAGCACATGCTAATTTGGCCGTCCGCTAGACCCCGGTGTCCAATGGCAGAAGCGTGCTCGCTGGGTGCAGGACGGGAAATACTTGACTTCCTCCGGTGTCACGGCGGGGATCGACGCGGGCTTTGCGTTCATGGCTAGCACGTATGTTGCACCAGAGGACCGCCAGGCTTATCCCGAGGCTCAAAGGGCTTCTCCTCAGGGTGAGGAGACTCCAATTCCGGGCTTCAGCAAGGAGAAAGCTCTGCGTCATGCGAATTTCGTTGCGTTTGGTTTGGAGTACCGCTGGCAGTCGGATCCTGCTGATGATCCCTTTGCGGATTTGCCTGGAACAGACGGCAATGCATAGATAAAGTTTCTTTGGCTTTGTTATTGCACTTGATTCCTTAGTAAATTTAACGAACATGCTAGGCTGCCTTTCCGCGTAATTATAGGCTTTACGACCGTAGGGCGGTTGCGATAAGGAAGGAAATAGGAAATATGGACCAGATACTGGACATCATAGAGGAGCCATTGGCCCATCACCCATGGCATAATAAAACTCGGCGGCAACGTAGGCATCAGCGCTCGAAGGATTCGTCGCGGAGTCACTACCCCCACTCATTCTGATAGGTCCACTCTGTAGCGATGGCGAGGTGTGATTCATACGACTGCTAGGAGAACTACTATACGAGTCGGTAAATTGAGAGGTTCCCAGTCTAAGGGGGCCAGGCGGGTCTCCCAGGGTAGCCAACGAAACCTCCTTGGTGTGATCATCAACGGGTGGCGGGGGAAAGTCCAAGAATTGCCAAAAGTTAGGGCTGAGACCATTGGACAGAATCGGCAGCACATCCAGGTCAGGGAACCCGTCAGCGACATTGGCGCACGGCATCGACAAATTAAACGGCGAAAAGGCATCAAAGGGGGCCTGCTGCTCTTGTAAGGGCGCGGTGGCAGCGTCGGCGCTTACGTTCAACGCTCTGATAATATCAGCAACTTTGAGCCTTAGCGAGCTTTTAGCGCTACTGTCGGAGTCCTCTTCTTCAAGCTTCATCAAGGCTTCTAGAGCAACGACACTGCGCTGGACAGACCCTTTGAATTGATTCAAGTGTAGAGCTTGAAGCGATGACCCTTCCGTGATGCTCTTTGTCCGTAATAATTCAATAGCTTCCCTGATCTTGTCGCGACTCATCAATCGACTCAGGTGTGTACTGGCACTATCCGCATCCGCTTGCTTGGGTGTGAAGAGCAGGTCGAGAAGCAAGACAACGGCCGCGTTGAATATCTGGGTCTCGCTGGTCGACAGCGTGCCACAAACAACGCATCGCGCCTGGATCTGAGCTTGGGTGCCGATGATGTTTTGGGCCAGAAGCTGACAGGAAGCACGGCTAATCGGAGAGGAGAGATTGGCTCGATGCAGTCGCAGGAGTAAGCTCCACAGTTGCTGGTGCAACATCCATCGTTGCACGGGGATTGCTGCCATTGGGCCGGTGGCAGTGAGACCTACAGTGCTTCCCAATCGAAAATACGACGGCAGACCAGCCACGTACTCTTCATACCTGTTGTTGAGATGTTTACGCAACTTGGTCGATTCGGTGGTCGCATCGGGCTGCTGAGTCGCTGATCCCCATGGATCAATAGATTCGCGTACAATGGTGGCGAGTTCGTGGGCGTGGACAGTATACGACAGCATCGTGAACTCGGAACGGGGCCGCTCCATGATTTCGCCATTGATGCTCACCCTCTCCATCGACAGACAGAGATCATCATCATTGATGTGCAACGGCATCCGGGTGTTGAATTGCGATGGATGCACGGTGTAGTAGCCGAGGGCTTGACCGCGCGACCAATCTCTCTGTACGAGTGCCCACCTATACGGGATCGTTAAAGATTGACTAGAGGATATTCTGTCCAGGGCCTTACCAAATGCGAATGCCTATTTCCGTTCGAATATGCGGCTGTTCCGCTGGCGATGACGTGCCATTTCCCAAGGGTGCAAAGTGCGATGCAGAGGCGTCCAACTTGATGTCACCCAACCGGTGCAGGCCGAGTTTGCGGGCTCCAGAAATTGCCGTAACCAGAACAGCGTCCAGCGCCAACAAGCCCTCCTGACCGTCCAGCAAAAGCATAACTGCGGCCTGTAAACCGGCGATCGAGCCACAAAAGAGAGATACTCCGTCCTGGAGACAGCGCAAGCTTAGCGATCTCCATGTCTTGGAGCGCATATCAGATGCTCTAAACTCCTCCACACGTAGACTCAAAGACGTGGGGGTCCAACCGAGTAGTGACGGTGAAGGATGAAAAGCGAGACCGAGTACCAACTTAGAATCAAACAGCAATGTGAGCAAACGCTTCCTGGGCAGAGTATACTACACGTACCGCCAAGAGGAAACAGCCTAGTGTCTCCATAGAGACTGTACTGGATATGGCCAAGACCCGCGAGTCCGGTGAAGCAAGACTTAAGCAGTTGCAGAACTGTTCAGCTCGCTTCATGAATGTTGGAGTGTGGACGACATTCCCCAACGGACCTTGGCAGCGGGTGACAAAGACTTCAAAAAGAACATGAATCATCTCCAGCTCCGGCATCGCGTCGACAATCTCTCGAATCAAGGCGAGCTTTTCACCGTGTCGCTTTGGGTCATTAGTCGACCAATACCGGTTCGGAAAGTCAGGCGCGACTAACGACGGCGTTGGTCCAAAAACACCGGGTAGATATGTATTTGGACGAGGAACTCCTTCGACGAAATGCTCCAAGAGTCGCGCTGCCTCCTCTGCTTCCGCTTCGCCATCTCCATTCGCCGGTGGACCACTGATAAGATAGGCATCAGTTGATAGCTGTCAATAATGGAATGAAGTGATGACAAGCTTCACTCACTTCTTGGCGGCGGTCTTGTCTTTGTGCTCGGTTTTTGACCGTTTAGCTCTCGGTTGACGCTCATCTTTGGTGCAAAGATGACCGATATTACGCTTGACGCATTCCATCTGTAAACAGAAGATAAGCATTCAGTCTCTAAATGGAGTGCATAAAGGAAATGGCAACTGACACAAGGTTCTTTGCGGTCACATTTTAACTTGGAGGCCCTACATCGAGAACACGAGAGCGTAAACTTGCGTACACCAGAGTCCGGCACCGCGAGGCTCTTGCCGCGGTTTGCATCAACCATTATTATTATTAATATTGTTGTTGTTGGTTGGATGAATGATAAGACACGGTTAAGATCAGGGACAAAGGGTGGGCGGACTGCAGTCCAGTTGTACACGCCGGCTTACGCGCCGACGCTGGGAGGCAAGTTCAGAGTCAATTTACCCCACTTTGGCGCCAGGACTTGAGGTCTGTTCGATATCCACCGCAGTGCACTTTGATTATCCCCCATAAGAACTAGACGCTTAGAGTAAATGCGTCAATGCAGTAAAAGCAGTCAATGCAGTCAATGCAGTCAATGCAGTCAATGCAGTCAATGCAGTCAATGCAGTCAATGC